TATGATAATAAAAAAAAAACTCAATTTTAAATTAAATTTACTACAAAATAAGTTTTAAATATAAAAGAATGTTTCAAATCAAATTTATAAATTCACTACAAAATAAGTTTTGAATATAAAAAAAAGTTTCAAACCAAATCCACAATGAAAATAAATGTCAAATAATGATTTTTTATTATTAAGCAATAGATATATCAATTTTTTTTAGAAAATTAATTTAGAGTTAAATTTAAAAATTTTAAGAATTAAATTAATAGTTCTTTTAATTTAAAGATCAATCGAAGAGTTTGCAAAATAGTTAAGTGGCAAATTGAGGGTTTAATCATAAAAAAAAATACAAAAAAAAAAAGTTGCACGTGGCAGATAAAAGGTACAAGTAAGATGCACTTTCCTCCTTTCTGGTTTGTTTCTATTTTCTAATTGAAGATAATTATAATGTTGGTAAAAAATGCTATGGTGTCCGATTTGTTTGCCGGCGTTATTACCGCTGAAGTAATATTTGCGTTTCTTCGACTTTGGCAAGAAACGACGGAACAAGGCCTCAAGCAGGTGAGTTGCATCCGAAAACATGTTTGGTTGCTTGAAAATAGTTGTTTTGAGATCGAAGATGCTTTTGTTTTGTTTTGGGTTTCCATTGTTGTTCGCTGGAGGAAGGCAAGGAAGATGAGCTGCGAAAGGCTGGAAAGGGCTGTCGACGGTGGTGGTTGAGAGTAGATGTAGATTTGTTCTGCTGCTGCTACTGCTCTGTTCGTGTTGTTGTTGTTTGGCGGAGGAAGGCAAGGAAGATGAGAAGCGAAGGTTGTCCAAAGGGCTGCCGACAGTGGTGGTTGAGAGCAAGGAGGTTGATGGAGGAAGGGGATCTGTTTTGTTCTTGAACTTTCTTCTTCTTTCTATTTTCTGCAGTGTTTTTGGATTGCTGACTGCCGTCGACAGCTTCAATGGGCGGACGGGCCAAACAGGTGGAGCAGGCCAGATGAGTTGGAGTGGACCAAATGTCGAAATGGGTTGAAGGTTGTATTCGACTCGTTTTCAAGCTTGAATGTGGTTGAACCAATTCAACAAACCGAGCCAAACCGAGCCTTAAAACAATGCATAAAACCATGATTTTCATGCAAAACTTAGATAATTACGACGTTGTTAATATTAGGATATATGGTCCTTAAAGTTAAAGTTAAAGGGCACAAACCCCTTAAAGTTTTGTAAAAAATTGAATTAGATTCCTTATGTTTTATTTTTATCATTTTATTCTCATTTGTTTCATATCATTTTAATCATTTTCTAGCATTTGTGTTGTCAAAGACTCTTTTTAATGATAAAGAGAAAAAAAGGGAATATAAAGATAATATGAATTATGGGGAAAAGTAAAATTTAGTTGAATAAAAAATTTTTATTATCATTTTTTATATAAAATTTTTGTCTACTAATATTTGTAATTACTTGTATTTCTTTATTCATAATTTATATTCTTTTATTTAATATATGTTCATTTTTAACTTTCAGTTATAGTGTTTATACTACATTATTAGCTAGTATTTATTTATTATTAAAAACTAACAAATATTTTTTTTTACTTTTTAAATTCACACACAAATTTATTATTTTTTAGTCAAAATTTTATTTTGCCACCCCTAAAAGAATTTTCTAGTTCCACCACTAGGTATGAGAACTAAAGATTAAGTGAAATCTAAATGTTGGCAATCTATTATTGCTAGCCTTGAATCAAACTTTGATTTTCGGACCACTAAGGATGGAAGAAATTTCAAAAACACCTTATTGGTTCTTAGCATCTTATTTTTCTATCACCAAACCGGAAACCAACGAAGAAAGTGACCAACATCGGTGAAGAATATCATTGAGTGCTAAATTCAATGTCTCATTTCTATCGTTATAGGTGGTTTGACTTGTATTATGTTATATGTTTTTGCTTTTATTTTTGGTATATTATATGTAAGTTATATAATAAAAAGTAATTTTTTTTTAATTTTTTTTATTTATCATGAAGTTTAAATTTAAAATTGTTAATTTAAAATTTTAAAATATTAGAGCCAACCTTAGAGGCATGTTAGATGTTCTTGTGAATAAAATAATAAAGCAATGAAAAAATTGGCATCTAAAGAAATATGTGTATTTATATTCAACCTTTTATTGAGTGGAAAAGGTAAAATAAGCAAGGTAAACGTTGTACGTCTAACCTTAAATAAGGTTTTGTGGTGTTTTCAGAGTGGATACCCAGCTAGGGGAGTGTTTAAAGTATAGGTGATTTTGTCCAGATTTATTTTCAAATTTTAACTTCTATTAATTTCTA